GATGAGTTGTGTATTGGGAATCCTCACTAGTTAGTTACCCATCCAAGGGTGATATGGGGACATTCACAGATTTAAAATATGCCCAGCTTGCTGAGAAATAATCCTTTTTTCGACTGTCACAGACAATTACATGCGGCGTTGTTGCTCTAATGTAAAATTAACCACTCACTGATTACTGAATCCTAACTGCACTTAGTTAAAGTTCTATTAATAATTGAGATTTTTTTTTACAAATGGGATGCTTTTTAAATGAATGCCCTTTCAAATAGCAGCCCTATGGTATGTATATGTACATTGAGAGAGTGTTTAAGGCTGACAGGCCTTAGTTCATCTAGTATCACTCTTGGATATTACCGCTTCAAGTGAATGCGTCAGATCCCCCCTTGGAGGACGATAAGGAAACAAGCAGGCTGGCGCAGACACTTTATCCCCTCTCTCCTCTGCTATAGACTGCAGAGGGCTGGCACCGCAGAGACCCAGTGGCACCATGCGGGAACCAACGTCAACCTGTGATGAAAGACGATGGCCGATTGTTTCCTGTTATTGAAACACTACTCATGGGTGGGGGTGGGGAGTAGGGGGCAGGCCTTAATAAAAAGTAAAGCCATTGAAGGAGAGTGCTACTGCAGAAGTGTCCTTGGGCCAGCCTCTGATGTGATGAAGTACTTTAAATGAATGCCAACTGTGACATATGCCTCAGAAACTAAATCCAAGTCATGTTGACTGCTGGAGGATTGCAATTATTTAAGTAACACAGTGTCACATTGTAGTAAACCATGTCATTCCTTTGTTTGTGCTGCCTAAAGGAACGAGGTTAAGGCAGGTTGTCAATGGGCAAATAATCAACTAGTCTCAGAAAACAGGGCTCTATAAATAACACGTCAATTAATACAATACGTTATCGACTGCTTTTGATCAACAATCATCAATAAAGTAGTCTTGTTAAAAGTCTAAAGTTCAAGTTCATATTAAGCACCATTTTTAATTGTTCTGGCAGATAAATCCTTTCAACAGTATCTTAAAAGGAGATGCGCTTCACTTCAAACAGTCCTTTCGACTTTTCTTTTCTCCAAATATCCGGATTAGGAGCACATAGAACTGAAAATAGCATGACTGGCTTTTCTACTGAATGGAAGAGGAGAGAGACAGAGATTCTGCTCTCCTGCTGTGTTCCAGTTTTGTTCTCAATAAGTACAGCACATCTCTTGGAGCAAAAAGAGACAAATTAACAGAGTTGCTGTTTGAGAATTGTGTTTTTGTAATTGTTCAAAATGCTTTTGTAGCACACAGCTCTGTTTTGCCAAGAGACTTTGTGTTGAGAGTTCATACGACGGAACGATGTCTCCTCTGAGTCTGTTCATTACAGAAAGGATGTTGTGTCTACGCTTTGTTCCAGATTTTTTCCCTCACAAAGTAGCATAGTGGGATATACTGTGAGGTACGTTATGTTCCTATACAAGAGAAGCCTATGGTTTTACCTCATTGTTCAGCAGATTATAATGTTTACAATACAAGTGACATATACTGAGGTTAAAGTGAATACAGAAATTGATTATTCCACATAAATAAAACTGATCCATAAAGAAATAAAACACACAACAGAAATAGTGCAAGTGACATAATGGTGCAAGTAAAATCCAGTAATAAGTTCACTTACAAAACCGAGGTATTTAGTCATACTTTGTCTTAAAATTCTAACGATAATCCACACAATGTTCCACATGAGAATGTATTCTGTGGAACCCCCAGGAATTATAAATATTTTAACTGTAACCAGTATTACCATCAGGGAAGGGTGAGCATTAATTTGGTTTCAATATGCAACCTTGCAGCTACAGTAGATGCCACTTTATCTTACACACAGCTCCTTCTAGTGTTATGTTGACAGGTATTTCAATATCACAGTGAGACTTGGAGTTTGAAGACAAGCAATGGTAAAGGTAAGGTAGACATACATCAGAGTAGTATAGACACTTCTGTGATAAAATACAACAATTAGAATGTAAGGCTACCAAATCTAAATAATTGAAGCACTTAAAAGTAAAGAGACAGTGCTATATAATCACAAAATTGCAGTAATGTTAAGTAACTACGTACATTTACTAAAGTATTGTACTTAAGTACAGTTTTGAGGTACTTGTACTTAACTTGAGTATTGCACTTTTTTGCTACTTTGTACTTCTACTTCACTACAATTAAAAGGTAAATCGTGCACTTTTACTCCACTACATTCTCCTTTACTTACTTTACAGATTTGGAATAATGATATGAAATATAAACACACTTAAATAAGACTTTAGTTACTCCTGGAGTAAATTCACAACCCTACAGTCAGAGCCGGCCCGGACTCAGAGTTCTCATTCATAACACTCCGTTCGATGTCTCACTATAGACAAGTTTACGCGACAAACCACGGGTAGCGCCATAACCCTACACAAATGCACTTCATTTCCGCCGGAAGTCTTTTGCACAGCGTCTGTCGGTGTAAACCGGTGTAAACAGTCAGACGGGCACTGGTGTAAACACAGCGATTTCGATGCTAACAGTGATGCTAGCTTGGGAACACGATTCTACTTCTTTGACTGGAGATGGCGTTACTCTCCCCCACCCGAATTCAGTGCAAAACTGGGAGGATAACATGACGACGTGGCCCAGCATAACGTACAGCAAAATTTGCTCCGACTTCGTTCAATCCATGGCAATAGATGGAAAAGCAATGGACAGTCTGAAGGCCTCCGANCCAATCCTGATTGGCTGGTGATCTTGACGTCTACGTCAGGGAATCCACCCACCCTATAAGTAGCTTGCGCTACGACGCAGCGTCATTCAAAAATAAGCACCTCTTCTCGCTTCAGAGCACATCTCGAATTATCAGTAGCCGGGCTAGCTTAACGGTCCACAGACTAAACCCAAAGGTAACATTCGGTCGACGGCGCTTGCCGGTTACTTTTTTGCTTTGCAAGAAGACTGAACAATATTAACACACCAGTTAATATTGTAATCTGCCTCGCCGTTTCTTTCTTTCGAAATTACGGTAAGGTTTGATTTTTTTCTTCAAGCCAGTAACATACCTTTTTCTTCCCTCCACACCGACACCACGGTAGCGAGGACGTTCTCTTTTCTCTCTCACACCAGAGGAGACGGAGATAAAAACAAAAGGTATTAACACACCAGTTAATATTCTTTAAAGAATAAAATCTACGCCGTCGCTTTTTCCTTTCAGATTAACGACAATGTTGGATTTTTTTTTCTCGGTAATGTACCTGTTACTAGCGTGTCCACTCCACGCCGGCACCGCGGCGAGCAAAGATGGACCCTTCTCTCCCTCACACCAGAGGTGTCAGGGACTCGGAGGCTCGGCTATGCGGCTGCAGGTTTAAGATCTCAGGCACAGACTCACACCAGGTCTGCTCATCCTGCCTCGGGCTGGAACACGCCCAGGAGGCTATCGATAACCCCGGCTCGTGCGGGCATTGTGCCCGCTTCACCATTAAGAGGGTCCGCCAACGGCTAGCACGCCAGCCAAGCTAGCTTGTCGGGACAGGNATGCTGCGTATCACAGTGCACTGAGATTTTTGACAAATTGTAAAGCACTTACGCATCACTGTAAACTGTATACAAAGGCGGTTTTGCCATCAATTACTGTACGGAGGCTCAGTCACTGGTACTTTTTCATTTACAAAGCCATGTTGGATAAACTACCATCTTATATCTGCTCCCTGATCTCTCGGCGAATTGAAAGTATTTATTGCCTGAGATCGCATGCTATGGTTTTATTACATTTGCCAAGTGCTAGGACTGTCTTAGGGAAGAAAGCTTTTAGATGTGCAGCTCCACTAACATGGAACAGTCTGCAAAAAGAATGGAAAATTACCAAGCTAGTACCACTACATGTTTTTAAAGCTCGGTTGGATGCTACAAAATCAGATGCTGTTGGTACCTGTACATGTGGATAGATATGTAAATTGTAATCCCTGTACATTTTGCTGTATGATGTCCTTTTGTTGTTCTGTTGTTTATGTTTTTATGTTTTCATGTGGAACCTACTGCTGCAGGTCTCCCTTGAAAAAGAGATCATTGATCTCAATGGGATTTTACCTGGATAAATAAAGGTTTTGAATTGAATTGAATTGAATGAATGAAAAACAGTTATGAAATACTATATGACAAAACAAGAATACAGTTTAAGTGATTTGTAAAATATCCATAAAGAAAAATCTGTTTATTTGTTCTGTTTCATATGGGTGTTGAGAGATGTATCCATAGATCTCTTAATTTTGCTCTCAAAGTGCACCAGATTGATCCTTTTGACTTCAATATTTAAAAAAAAATCTTCCCGGGGGGCCATGCCCCCGGACCCCCCTAGAGGAGGTTAGGTCCACGGTGTTTACATGCTTATTTATATAATATGTGTGCTTATACTAACGTCATAAGACAAAGGTTGGTTCCGTGTTGTGTGAAGTGAGAACACGCTAGAGTGAGGGGGGCCCCCAAACCAAAGCTCGCTTAGGGCCCCCAAAAGTCTAGGGCCGGCCCTGCCTACAGTATGCAAAGTAATTACAACTAGTTCCACCTTTACCAGCTTTGATGTATCAATATTTATAATCAAAACATATGATATATATTATTCTGAAATGGACTGATCTGCATGATAAGTAGCTTACTTTTACTTTTGGTAGTCTACTTTAAGTACATTTTGATGCTAATACTTTTCTACTTTTACTTGAGTAACATTTTGATTGCAGGACAAGAGTATTCCTACACTCTTGTTCTTCTACTTTTACTTGAGTACTACAAGATCTGAGAGTACTTTACCCTCCTCTGCAAAATTGGTTATATTAACACCAGTTTTTAATATACTGCTGTGTTGACTACATAAAAGAATGCAATGTCAGGGAGGGGGAGCACCATAGGGCAGCACTTACTAGGACAAGGGAAAAAAAGACCGGTGGGAGGGCTACAAAAGTCATTGTGCACCGCCCCGCAGCTCACAAAGTTTGGAAAGTCCTGACATCGTTACATTGGCCACATCCTCGCGCGTGGATTATAAAGCATACCTAATTCAAGACAGCCACCCTGCCTAAAAAGTAAGTTTTGTGATTCATAACTTTCGTATTTCCACGGGGATGTGAAGTCTACGTCTATAAATTCTATGTTCTTTCCCTGATAGGATAGAGAGCAGCAATTTAGCCATGCTCTTTCCTCAATCCTCGACCAGCCCCTGTTAAATCTGTTTTGAAATGATTAGCTCACATTACGGTTTATAGTTTTGAAAACACGGAGTTATGTCCAAAAACGCTGATAGTCGTATATTTGGAATATTTACCTTTCTGTTTTGCATTATTAATTCCATTATCATGAGTTAAGTTGTGGATTCAATTGCTTGTTTCGCCAACAAAACCTACTTTATTGATTTTTAAGTACAGTTTTAGTGATAAAGTTGCTAGTTTAAGACCTCAGTTTGGCCAAAAGTAGTGCGGGGAAATAACGTGACCATTTTCCTTTGGAATTACATAAACAGTTTACACAGGCTCTTCCTTTCCCTCTATATGAATCATATAACCAGAGCAGTCTCCCCTCTTATCTGATCTAGGCATTGTGATATTATTTAAAGAAAGCGATGCAGGGTTGCTTCCTGAAACGGGGTTGACCAGAAGTGAGTGACCACCAGATAACCCTAGGTTCAGACCCTCATTGTGCACCAGGAAGGCGGACAGAAATATTGTCTCAGGAGGAAAATCCTATCATCCCACTGGAGGAATTTAAGACATTTGAGCATCATTTCCCTTACTGTCAGTAATGAATAGGTTGTGTAAATGTAATGACTAATGCCCTTTGTGTTCTCAATCATGTTGTTCTATGGAGCTGGCAATAAATCACATATTCTATTAGATGTGGTAAACTGCACTTTAAATGTTCATGTTCAGCCAGCAATACTTATGACCACAAAAATGGTTTATCAGCATGTGTGTTTTATCCTTTTCATGGCAGTTTTGAACAACAGAATACAGATTTGCATACAATCCTTGTATTTTAATATTGTATGCGGAGTATGAGATTGGCAGTTTGTCACATCCTTATCAACCATCACATTTCCTTATTGATTCCCGGCTTTTTTTTCTCCACCTTTTCACATTTTAACGCTTGGTATTGTCTGCTCCACAGCTGACACTGTCACTTCTGCTCTGCCTCTGCAGACAAGGACACTTCAACCTCTGCTCGAGCATCTTCACACCCCAGAGACTCCGCTTCTACCAACAGCTCCAACTTAAACTAAACAGAGATGGAGGGTCACGTGGTGCTGTTTGCCCTGCTTCTGTGCATCTCTGCTGCAGCCTCTGGTAAGTGTACCAAATGATATTCAGTGTTTTCAGTGCTCAGCTGTTGTGTAACTGGGTTTCCTGCTAACATACTCTTTTTGAATAGTCTATAAACTTAGACATTAGGCCACTGTATTTGGAGTCTCCAAGGCTTATTTTCGGTCAACAAAAATTCTAATGTAATATAATTATCCTCTGCTGTGTTTCTGAAGAGAAAAGGGTTTGCAATGCTGTTAGTGGTGTAGAGGGAGGTCGTGTGCAACATAGTACTAGTGAAGTTTGGGCTTGAATGATGATTTTTTCCTTACAATAACTAAGAGATCATGTAGTATAGTCTAAAGTATTACACAATAGCTACATTTAAAAGATATGTAACTCCAAACAGTATCATTTCAACTATTGAACCACTGTCATCACTGCACTTGTTTGTGTCGTTGTTCAGGTTTAAGTGAAGAAAGAATATTTTATTGTAAGACCGCACAGGCACAAGAAGAAAGCAAACATGTGGGGTGATTTTGGATTCTATGTGATCCTCCTCAGTTGGCCTCCCTCTAACACTACCTCCACTGGTTGCCTGTGGCTGCCCATATCAAATTCAAACATGTAATCCCTACAAGGTGGCAAAGGGATCTGAAACCCTCCATGTGCCCTCCGGCCATAATCCAGCCTTACGCCAGCGCTCTGCAGAGCTGCTTCGGGATGTTTGGTTCTCTCTTCCCTACGGCAATCTGGCGTTTCAGTGGCCACCTGGCTTTCAATTAATAAAACAATGCTGGTTTATTTATTTGTATTAGATTTATTATTTCATTTTGTGATTCAATATCAGTTCCAAATGTACAGATCTGGTATAAAAAAAGACAATGTCAAAGTGCAGTTTGTTTTAGTTATGAATATATATTTATTTCCCGTTAGATATACAGTTTTAAATCTATAAGACATTTACTGGTATTTTCATCCGTATGAATCTGGTAGTAGTACTTTTCTGAAAAATGTTGGACTAAACTGTCGTTGACATGTTAAAACTACTAAACGCTATTACAAGATGCTTTTTAATAGCTGATTGTACATGTACAATACAACCCCCCTCAGGCTCATGTAATGCAATATAGTTTGAAACTGTCAGAAAATGAGGTTGTCCACATGAACTTTTCAGTGATGGACTTGAAGGTGAAACAGAGAGTTCAGCGCTCAATGACCTTTTTTCACGCTCTGTATCTGTAATCATACACCAGCAAAAATAAACTGCCATTTCCAACTTGCTTTTTAAATAAGGCAAATTGGCCCTGGCAGCATACATCACTGTCAAGATTATGTGCCAGGAAAACAAGCCTGTTTGCTGAATCTGCCCTCAGAGCTGACCGACTGTATGACAAATCACAGTATTGCCACAAGTGCTAAACACCCCCTCGGCAGGGGTGCCGGTGGCAGGGATACAGAGGTATTTTTATGGCCAACTGGAAGACCTGCGTAGAGTTGACCCCTTGTAGCTCACACCACGGGGGATCTGTCTGCTGGTGGAGTCTGTGAGGAGCTGTTTAGCCCAGCCTTAATTGCCTCTGTGACAAATTGTCCCCAAATCCCTAACATTTTATTTCTCTCTTGAAAGAGTTTCCTACAATTTTTATCTCTCTCCTCTTATTTTTTGGGCTACAGCAGCTTGAGGAGAAGTCCCAGAGGGAGCTGTGACGCTGTTCTCAGACAGAAGGGTACACTGACCCCGTGTGCTGAATGTTGAAGCTTTAATAAAAACATTAGTATGACACGTTGAGTTCCTATATCTCAGGCGTTGTTTATTGCTCATTATATAGTCCAGTATTGTCTTATTGATTTGTCATTTTCTCCGACATTGTCCCCTAGGCTTATTGGTATGTTGTTGTTGAATAAATGAAGCGAGAACATCAGGTGTGACTCAAAGACCCAAAGTATATTCCATACTGAATCAAATTGGCACATTCCTCGACTGAGCAAAGCAAAGCAAAACAAATCCGCAACTATACAGCAATATTTACTGGGAATTGAGGTCTGTGTAATAGCATCCACTACAGCTGCAAGTCAATATGGGAGCAGATACACACATCCCTCTGGAGCAGATACACACATCCCTCTGAAGAAGTAGTCTGCAGCCTGCAACAAATCCCAAGACACTCCGGGTCAGTTGCAGGCGATTGGATATGGAATATTACTTGAGCTCAATTTTGCTTTCACTAACATTTTATATGTTTAACTCTCTTTCAGCTCCTTAATATCAAGCTTGTTTGTCTGAAGACTGGTTGTAATGTGCAGCAGCTATTGCATTCACAGTTTAAGTTACCCAATCATTTCTTGGTCATATCAACTGTAAACCAAATTATATAGATGCATAACCTTGCCAAGTGACCCAGTAAAGCCAACGGATAATGTCTAAGTCTAGGTCTGACACCAGATGTACTCTCCAGTTCCTGAAACTACCAACTTTAATACTTTCTTAGTGTACCCCCCTGGTCTGAGTTCTGTTGTCATGCATTTTTAGACGAATGCTAATGACTGACCATTTAAGGGAAATTGGTGTTTTGCAATTTTAACACTATGTCGGCAATAGTTTGTTAGTGATAGTGAAAGTTTGATTAATTTGAAATGTAGTTTAGTGGTCCTAATACCAAATAATGGGAATAACAGTACTGCTGCAGCCCCAGATAAACTATCTCCTGAACTATCTGACCAATTATCAAATTTTTCTTCAGCGATATCCTAATTTCGACGGTACTCCTCCTGTTTTCATCTGCTCCGATTACTTTTAAAATCACCCGCTGCTTATATATCTCTCTCAAACCCAGAGAAGACCAACCTTGCTTTCACCTCACACCTTCATTATTAAAACTCCCTATATGCTGGGATCATTCAGGCCTCTCTTTCTTGTCTGCAGCTTATCCATAATCTGTGGACAGGCTTCTGTCAGGCTCCAATAAAACAGACAACATCACGCTGGTCTGAGCTTCACTGCACTGCCTCCCTGTGAGGTTAATTGTGTTTAATATTTTGCTGTTTGTTTTGAAGGCCTAACATGGTCCGGCCTATGGGTTTATCTCTGAGTGCATGTGGTGCCACAATTCATCTAAATCCCTCCAGTTATACTGGGGTATTTATTTGTGCCAACATCATACAGGCGTCGATGCCTTTGCAATAGCTGAATGAATTCCCCCTCTATGTTTTGGTCAGAGTCCTTTCTTTATTAATAAAACATGCTAAATGCTTACCATTTCTCCAAAGATTTCACACTTTATTGCCTGTTTTCATTTACTGTTGGATGTTACTCTTTGGTTCATCTTATTATATTTCAGTTTGTTTGTGCACTGCTACCAGGTACTTGCAATTTTCTTGCAACTGTTTTTGAAAAGTAAATGTATTTAATTTGGCGAACGGGCAAAGTAGAAAATGTACCTATAAACACATGTTTACAAACCTTTAGAGAGTTACTGTGGTGATTCCGTTTTTTTCATTCATTTATCTGGAGGAACATTTAAAAAAGTGTCAAGACTGGAGCAGCAGAAGCCATGATATACTGACTTTTAGTTTGTGTTCATGGTTCAACTGCCACAAAAATTGCAACATTTCCCATAATACAACTCAACAGTGTTTTTTATCTCTTGCTTTAAATATATACTGATCCTCTTGTATGAAGTTTTCCTTTTTATGAGGCTTTTGAATCCTATAACTTATCCTATAAGCATTTATGTGTTTTCCCTAGCTGGCATTACTAGGCTGTTGGACCTTTTGCAAGTACATCAAACATGGGAGCTTTTACATTTTCCCTGCCTGGTTGCTTATTAAATGGGAGTTCTTTTTTATTAATAGACCACTTCATAATTGCTTATACAAAAACCTCCACCACTTTGGCCGGCTGAAGCATTCGGACATAAACAATTATCTATGCGTCTGACTGAAGTCTTTGTATTTAGTGATTTTATCCATTATGTGCCTGGTGTTTCCTGGTGGGGAAGTAGTGTTGAATAATCCCCGTTCTGCAACAAGTTTCCCAGCAGGAGCCAGGCATCAAGCATGTTAACCAGCGAACCTCCTGCTGCATTTGTGCCTACCCCAGAGTCTCCCTCTATGGGCTGAAGGAAAAGCACAAAAGTGATTAGCAAGCCACGGGAGAAGGAGGGGAGGCCCTCTGAAAATGATTCATAAAGGGGGAAAGGGAGCGAGACAGACAGACAGACAGACAAACAAACAAACAAACAAACAAACAGAGATAACATAATTCATAAAGACTGAGTCATGGAGACAGTAGGGGAGTGGGGGGTCACATTTATCTGAGTGTCAAATAGCAGATAAGTGGTTCAGAGGGAAGATGTGGGGAAAATGAAAGAAAATAGGGGATTAAAAAACACAAATAATCAAAAAGGACCAGACCGAGATAAATACTGAGTTATGGAGACTCAAAGTCAGAAAATGAAAATGAAAATAAAACACTGAGTGACACTAAAGATTAAGAATAATACATTTAAAAGGAAAACATTTGTTATTTAACGGAAATAGGGTGTCAGTGATTTAAGAATAAAAGGTTTCTCGGAAAGCAGGCTGTAGAAGAATAAGCTGGGAGCCAAAAAAGGAAAAACACGTCATGTTAAAAATGGCGTTGAGTCAAAACAGTCCACTTCCCCTGTTTTACTGTAGTGAGCCAGCTCTGCCTGCAGTCAGACTGGGTGGCAGGGAGACGCGACCACTTGTCGCTGCCTCAGACCGATTTCAATCTCCTTCAATGTTATGCCCCTCCCAAATAACAATCCATTTCTGACTGCCTTGCTTTTCCTCTGTTTGAAAACAGAATGCAGTGTGAGGGAGCCTCGCTTACACCATGTTGCTCTCTGCTGTTTGTTCCCACATCATTCTCACCGGCTAACACTTGACTTTGATCAAGATGGTTCTAGCTGCAGCGTTGCACATAAGTAATGACATTAGTCGTAGGCTAAAATAAATAAATAAATACAGATGAATGGCATTTTTTTGGTTTTAAGTGACAATGATAGAAGATGCCAAGG